AGCATTTTTTTATTTTCCCGCGAAATTTTTCTGTGCAAAAAGAAAAAAACATCAGGATTTTTCCCAACTTCGTCCTCAAATCCCTGTTGTCTTTTTTATTTTCTTCCCTGAGGTGCAACGAAATTTCGCGAAAATAGTCCCGACTTCGCCGCCCAAGGGTTAGGACCGATCCGGACCCCGGATTGTTACCTTTTGAAGCATATACCATATTTTTTTTTACTAGAAATCAGAAGGCATATGAAATTACCTGCGGTAGAACCTAAATTTTCTGGCTAAAAACCGCGCGTCTTTGCCCGGCAAATGAGACTGGATAAGCAAAGCTGGAATAAAAATACTTCCTCAACGGATAAATAATAAAAGGATGCAAAAAATCAAAATTCCTGTCGATCTTGAAAGTTGTTAGCCGGAATAATAAGTTGGAAACAGTCATTGATGCTCGCTTATAGTTTCAACAGAAAGATTCGATCAATCAATGAAAAAAGTTGCGGATTGCTTTTATGATTCGAGGACAGTGATGAGGACGCTTTCTCTGCTGGCTAGTCAGAATTTTCAACTGTAGTTCCTCGATTTCATTAAACTGTCACGGAAACCGAAAAATGAAAGTCTTCTTTGTCTCGTACTCGAGGTGGAGTGGGAAACGGATCATTCGTTTTCGGACAGGATGATGAAAAGTGATGGTTTCAAAGTTGGCCGAAAGCTGTTTGCCGACCGTTTTTCCAAGCATTAAATTGAGATAGAAGCAAGTTTTTCATGCACGTCCGAATGAAAGATAATTCATTTTTTGCCTTCAGTTCGATAATGAAGAAGTATTTAACAGGGAACCATTCAAGACTACATCAGTCAGACCGCGGAGTTTGACCTCATTTTTAAAGTCCACATTAAAAGGGGAAGTGACCCAGATTTTCACGGCGGGATAAAAAAAACTAATTGCGGTCTTCTATTCATGGGAATAATCGGAAAGCCAATTTTTTTGCATGGCACACATTGTTTTATTTACGTGTATCTCACTAAACGAGAAAAGTAGCTCATCGAAGAATTAACTGCCCATGGGCATCATTATCCTAATAGGTCTTCGCGGCAATTTATTTTTTATCCCACTGACGAGAGGTTTGTCCCACAAACGCTGCATCTCATCTTTCAAATTCATTCGTTGTTACTCAGCCATTCCTTCATCGTCATTTTCAGTACTTACATTTTTGCTTCATGTACGAGGTGTCACCTTCCGAGCGCCAGAATTGTACCCAAGAAAGAAGAAAGGTATCACAGTATGAAGTCGACATGGGAACATTTCGCCAATTCTTCGAATAATGTCATGTGGAACAGATGAAGAATGAGAAGTGCATAGTTTGATCATGCGACCGTAAAATTAAATGGGTGCCAAGAATGACGCATGCCCAAAACAGCGGCATTACCGAATAGCGTATTTACTCGAACCCTCGAGTGAGACAGGCACCCCAAGCGTTTACCCTAAATTTTTTATAAAATCCAATTCCCGAGGAAGACACGCGTCCCATTTTTAGTGACTAAAAAACTAAAATATTCCTAAACTAAGAGGGACCAAAATGAAAATTGAACACGCATTCAACCTGAATACAGTTAATTTTAAATTGTTTTCATTTAAAAAGGAGTTCTTATCGTCAAAAATGTGAGGCGCTCCTAAGTATCTAAAACTTTTTCAATATGTTATCCCCGCCAATGATGCCCCCCCTCACATTTCTCGGGTAAATATGGTAACTTTTGAAAACAAAGGTTCATCAACTGTACTCTTTCTTACTTGCGTGTATTTTCAGGTGTAGGTACAAGACCAGCGACGGAGTGCGCCGGAGCAGCAGGCGCCACAAGCCCCGGGAAGAGCCGCCACGGGAACAGTTCCGCCACATGAGCGCCTCCGACTTGGTGCTGGGCTACGGTCAACAATCCGAGTCGGACTCTTCAGGAAAACTTGCGACAACCATGCGGGAATGCCCAGAATGCAGGTGCTCCATCGACGCCGCGATGACGCATCACAATCATGGGCGCGACAGTGCCGCCATCTGAACGACAAGGATTTTTTGTTTGTTTCCCTTTGCGATGGAACAAATGGTTTTTTTTTTTTGTAAAGAGGCCTCAGTCACGGCTTTGGGTCTGGGTGGGATTGCATTTTGTGGACTGGATCAAAAGTCGAAGCTGCTTTCCCTGTGCGACGCTCTCAAAGTGACCTCAGATGCGCAGTCCCGAAAATTCCCCGGAAGCGCTTCGGATGCGCTTCAACTTCCGGCTTCCTACGCTCATCAGTCCTGGGTTGCTATTTGTGGGGTTCCGTTGCAATACAGCGGGTTTTAAATTTTTAGGAACTTCGATCCTGAATAATTTCATGAACTGTAATCTTTCTCGTGTGCAGTTGCACCATCAGTTTTTGCTGAATCTGCCAGTATCTGTCCTGGTCGGTCATTTTTTCTTCAGGTGTCGATTTGCCTTGCCATGTGTAAATTTGTCATGGCGGATCCATTGGATCCCAGACACCATGGAAACTTCCAATAATTCCATTTTTTCTGAAGCTTGTGGGCTCTAATAACATGGACATGCTGTCTAATTTTGGGAACCTATAATGCTTTATTATCATTCTTAACGTAAAATATAATTTTCACACGTATTTTTGACATTTTGCAGTATTGGCCATTTTTTCTCCGTCATGCTTGAAAAATACCCTGATTACGTTTTAATCTATGGCCATAAAAAACTGATTTGGTATCCTCTTTTTTTTAACTATCTTAGGTCAGTATCGATATCAAAAATAATTTCCAACGGATTTATCTGATTATTCGCTTGAAAAACAGAACAAGTGATCGTGACGTAATGACAGTTTGTGATGAAATTCAACTTAAAATTAAAATGTGGCTCGTGTATGAAAAATTAAACGAAAGTCATCTTCCAAAAGTTATAACATGCATGTTTTACGATGCATGGATGTTTGAAAATGCTGACAAATGCGTGTAAAATGCCATTGCAATCGAACCCCCAAGATTGCATGACCCAAGAGGTGGCCATACATTTTTTCCAACGAAACAAATGAGATCGTTCATGGTTTTTTTTTTAAAAGAACGATATCCTTCATTATTATTTTTAATATGGATGCTGTGCCTGGAATTGTATCCTTAGTTGCCTGCTTGAATGAACCAGTGTGCTATTGACACTTCCGGAGTCTATTTTTTTCGTTCCATATATGTGTCAACAACCTTCTGATCCATGCCCAGGCTCGAATAGCTTGTCATGGATTATTTCCCGCATTCCATAAATTCTGTTCCGCGATGGTGCAAGCGGGGAATTCTTTGTCATTTAAGTGTGATAAAGATTCTAATGTATTCACACCGCGGTGTTTATAGACTCTGAGTTTCAGAGGTGCTCTTCAGGGACAGCACATGGTTTCCACGATAAATTATTCAAGTTTCTGCACAGGGCCTGCCATTTTCGAAAAAAGTAGTAACATAGACGATGGCTTCTCCATTAAAGTACATTACAGCTACTTCTGTGCTTTTTTAAAAGCAGATCATTCTTCCTAAGTTCCAGTCAAATTTCGATTCGAACGAATAAGCGTTTCGAAAGAGGTTTCCGACAAAAAAAAATTCCCTGCTCACTTTTATTAACACTTCAGAGGAGACAGAACCGGAATGAGTTGAATTAAAATTCTGAAGCACGTCTCTTCCAATTTGATGCATTTTACACTGCAATTTACAGGGAAAAGTCAAAAGAAAACAGATTGTAAGGTTAGTAAGATGTGAAAAAAATGCCATTCTCTCTCTCTCTCTTTGTCTCTCCAAAAAAAATGCGCCACTGTCATTTCAACACAATAATGCTGCCCTTATTTCCATGATCGAGGGGTTCACAGTCAGTTTTTGTGATGGGAAGGATGTAAATTTATCCTTATTTTGAAAAATGTTATCAAATTGTATCTGTATCCCCTTCATACTTTCGATCTTTAAACTCGTCTCCCTTCATCACAGTGAAAAATCCTTACATCGATGAAAAACTGGTGTTTGCAAATTACTTAAAGTGGAAATCAATTCCTTTATATCGTCTCCTTATTGCAGTCTTCGGAAGGGCTTAAAAGAAGTTGGCACAACATGAGTTGCATGGAACGATACATCCTTCTTCTAGATCTTGGGCACCTAAAAAGCTAATTAAATTTCAACAACGATGTATTGAATAAAATTGAGTGATCTGTTGTTTTTTTAAATTATATTTAGGCATTCCCTCTACGAAAGAGCTTACAAGAACTGTACTTATTATCGAAAATTTCTTTCTGATGCATTTCTTGAATTTTTAAAGAGGCATACTGAAGTGCGGGGAATAAAATAGTTCTTTGTTTCCAACAGGCGGCAGACCCCGACACCCCGTGCAGAAACTCGATTTCTGCGTTTTGTTCATTCAGGATAATAAAATCTCGAGCACCCAACTGTACTTCCTCCAAGTGAATAACAAAATACTTGAACGACCTTGTGTAATGGCTGATGATTGACAAAAAATACCTCCTTACAACATGAATTCATCGCATCTTTCACGAAGCCAGCTCAAGGATCTACAGTATTTCAATGCTTCGGAAAAAAGCTAAATAATGCGGCATCTGCTTAAAAATACGATATGTGTATCATGGTATTAATTGCTTAGGAATATGAACAAACATTTAAAAAATGCTCAGATAATGCATTAAGAAAGAGTGCGAGGAAGAATTGCGCAGTGATTTTTTTAGAATGGAATAAATGAAATATATGTTTGCGCGGGTATTGAATAAATTGACGCATTTACGTAATTTTTGAATGCTTTTTAATTCCAGATTTTAAAAATCTCCCTGCTTCTAGGATATGCAGTATTGTCCTAAGACTGAACTATGTCAAAACCTTGGGAAATGACAACTGAGTTTAAAGAAAAACATGAGCTTTCATGCATTGATGAAAAATCAGACTCCGCCATCTTTTGTAGCCCTGCAAAAAAGTATTATCTAAAAAAAACAAGCAGATTCGGAATGTCTTCTTCGAAAATTTTCATTTTTATCTCCAGTTCCATACATAGAAGCCTGCCCGTCATTACCGACGGCGTTTAAAAAACTGCACAGGCCCCAATGCAATAATTCCATAAATAACAGCACCACCACTGTGGATAAAAGCAAAGTCAACAACAGGCAGTTCAATATCATCAGTCAGATCAACCTTCGCAAGGAAGACAAGTCCTGTCAATGAAAACATGATACGCCTTCTTTTCCGTCAGAAAGTCAGCAACTGTATAAAACTATTGTAGGATTCATAAAGTGAAGGCGAAGAAATGTATCTTTGTTTTCAGTCCGCGGGAACCTGCCCATGATTGCTGACAAGTGCCGCATCCTCAGGAATTCCACCAGCAATACAGTATTCAAAATAAATAAATAACATGAGTTTGCATAACGGGGAACAAGCTGTCAAGTTTCATCCATTGGAGGTACCAAAGACTGAGGAGGGGGCATTTGTCCTTGCCAAAAAGCTCACAAAGGGCACAGTCCCGTCAAACACGGCCCATAAGAGAACCCGCGCAAAAGAATGCTTATTCAAAGGATTGTCAAGTTGTTAGTCACAGGTCAAAAAAAAACAACAACAAACAGGATCTCGGGGCCTCAAAAGGTCATTCTAGGGATTGGCGCAAGCGCAGACCTTCTCGTCATAGTCAATTTCGCGGTAGTAGCCCATGAAACCAGAGCGTTGGTCCTTGCTGCTGAACTCGTCGCCCGAAGACAATCCTGTGAGACGCTTGCCAGCATCTGCTGCCTGCTGCTTCTGCAAATAAAGTTCCAGAGTCTTGGATTCTTGTGGTTCAGTCTTGTCAGCTTCTACCTGCCGCTTGGCCTACAAAACAAACCATGCAACATGCAGCACTACTATTGACTCCACGTTCCGTGCAAAAAGCAACAATATTTAAGCAAGCAACGGCGAGCAAGGTTTTTCCAAATTTATACACAACGGAAAATTGCTTCATGGCCGCAACTCTCTAGGCTCCATTGAGATATTCTAAGAAAAATTTACAATTATCGGCATTTTCTAATTCTGACGGCATTCACAGACGAAATTTCTCGCTCAAAAATACGGATGAAGTCTTTTCTTTCCAATGGTGCAAATAAAATGATAAAACAATTTTCAGATTCTGACCGACCATGAATTCCTTATCAAATCATCCCGGCTAAAATTCTCACCAAAAGGGGTTTTAGCTGTCCAAAAATGTAAATCCGTCGAATTTTTTTTACGACAGAAAAAATGGTGAGAAATACGACGTTATATACTGTACTTCGCAAAGGGTTTTTCTGGACCCTGAGCAAAAGCGCGAGGAACACTTTCTTACAATTGGTTTGATAATTGTTAAACATTCTTCAATTATTTTTGAACCTCCTCAAGCATCTTTTTAGAAGATTTTTGTCAATCTTTAGCAGTACTCAGAACCAAGTATATCTTCAAAAAATCATTCCATCAACACATGGATTCGGAGTACATGAGAAGAAGGAGGGTTCAAGGATTGGACATATTTTTTACTGGGTTTGATGGTGTTACCTAAAATATGTGATCAATTTTTGTTTTCAGTCAACAATAAACCAAGAGTGTACTCCTATCTGGATAAATTCAAATACTGTATGCTCCCCATTTAACATTGAATTTTTTCCCCGAGAAACTAGTCAATCCTGACATTTTCGTCGTTTTAAAACAGGAAGAAACAACGGTGGAAATCTAAAATAATTTTTTTATCCTTTTGTAAAAGTTTTGACTCAAATATATCCCATCCTTTCTTGCTTTTTTTTAGACTAGTTCGAACTACGTGACCTTTTAATTCAAATTTAGCCAATTTCCCAACAGTTCGTTTGACGAAACGCCTCGAAAAATTAACAGGAGACAGGACTTCGTTAAAAAAATCATACTACCTCAAAAAACCGGTCATGAAATGCTGCATTCAATATTTTCCATAGAACGTCTACCTAACGTTTTCTTAGACTCACGTGATTTTAGGGCTAAGCACTATACAGTACTGTAATAGTACCGTAAATATAGCGATATTTCTTGTGCCAATATACGACAAAGCACAGACTTCAGTGAACAATAAGTTGCTCCAGTCAGAACCGTTCTTCGCGTGACGGATGGACCTTAGAAGAATCCCCGCAGCGAAACATATAATTTAATATATAGTACTGTCTGCTGGTGCGTTAAATAGAAGTCCCACGCCTGTCGGTCCATTTCTCCTGGATTTTTCTCGCATGTCATTCCGTAACTGTTTGTAGTTCAAATTCGAATAAAATTTCATAATTTTACTGCCGAACTCCAGACTCCCCCATTATATACATAACATGCCATTGAAAGCGACCTACAACATGACCGTGTACAACATATTTTTCTTGAACAATTATGGTGTTGATTGTGACGACTGTTTTCGTCGAGAGAACACCACAGTTCACTCCGATCATGCATTTGAACAACATTCATCTACGAAGATTTGTACATCTGTGGAACCTGCCTCTTCTACGAAATGCAGTACTGAATTGTACGAAGCAGTCAAATTCTGGTCGAATCTCTGGTGTAACGCGTGTCGTTAGTTATTCTTCTCAGTCTTTTTTTTAAAGGAAATTTAGCCGTTATTGACAATCGGTTCGAAATTTGTCTCCTAAAATTCTCGAACAAATCCCCGGATATCAAAAATCCGTTCTAACAAACTAAATCCTTTCAGAAAAGTCGGGTTATGATTTTCAGAAATTGTCGACTACATTCTAATCCCCGAAATACTTTCTTGGGTGGCTAAATCCGAATTTAGATATCCTTCCATTCAAATTTGACAATTACTGGGATCGAAGAGCAAAAATATATTTTCTGAACATTTAAAACAGGGGTTGGCTTAAAATTTTTCAAGAGATTCGATTCCTACCTCGCTCTTGTTAACTGATCGATTGTGTATTCTCTAGTTCTGACGAAGAGCTGGAAAATTTAACAAAGACAGAGGCAGAAAATCTGGAATTTTTCAAGCTAGCCACGTGCGAGGCTATTCATGCCAGAATCACATCTTAATATGCATAAAATAAAAATTAACTGCAATTGTCATGCAATTCTCTGGCAGCGACCGTCAGGTACAATGACTGATCGTAGCTAGCAAACCCGCGACGGGCCAAAAGATCAAAATGCATCGCTCAAAACACGTACCCTGGGCTCGTTTTCATCGTCGACGTCAGAATGGAAGTGCACCAACATCTTGTTGCAGTTGGACGTGACTTGTTGTCGGTTACCTGCATTGTCGCCGGTGTAGAAGGCCAACAGATTTGAAGAGTCGTTGGCGATGCAACCGTCGTACACCTAAATGCGTAATGATGATAATAATTATGCAGTAATAATAAGGGTCCCTCATTACTCGAGATAATCCCAAATCATTCTTTTCGAATTCTCAGGAGATCAAGAGGAATTAATTTTATACATGAACGAACGAAAAAAAAATTTTGCGACGACTCGTGAAATCACGAGGGGCAATGAATCTACCGGACGACTTCATTTCATTCTCTTCAACAAAAAATATACTTACAGAATAAGTTTTTCTCCCCACAGAATCGTTGCTTCTTCAAAGTACTGCATTACATTCCTTCAGTTTTTTTAAAAGGCTCACAAAGCTTTCGATGAGTGGCGAATTGAAGATTATCATTGAAACATACCTCCGCCTTTGTCGAACAATCTAAAAATGCAGTTGCGAGCTAAGCCTTCGCAGACAATCAGTGTTCTTCATAATCAGGTTCGTTTTCAGTACTTTCATCATATCTTAGTTGTTATGTGGTCAATTGGCATTGACTGGGCAGTCATTGCACTGCTTTTTGCACGGGAGCACTCGACCAAATGACCGGTTAGTTCAAGTAAGATTTTGTTCAAAAAGCTAGCTTTGAGTAGCTGCGTAAAAATTTTTACTGAATGGTTCTTGGAAATAAGCGCGGTTGACCCAGTGAATAAGGAATAATACGTGTTTTTATCTGATTGCTCGAGATTAGGCGACCGTGAGCAATGCTGAACTACCCGAATGGAATAAGTGGACGTGTGCTGAATTTTAATCGAGAAACGGAAGTTAGAAGTTCTAGAAAATCGATCTTCTTTGATATTTAGAAGAACAATGGACAAAAAGAAATCATACCTTGATGTAATCGCAGCTGTGACCGCAGCCAGTTTCCAGATCAATCCAGATCAAGTCGAGGTGAACACGCTTTCCAGTGTTGGCTACTTACGTGTGTTTGAACAGACAGAGACGCGACATTAGCGACCCGGTCAAGCCCGAGCTCTAGACGAAGAACAGGAAGAGTTGGAAAAGCTAAAATATCAGTCGACAAGCTTTTGTGTTTAAAAATTACTCGCGTTAGAATTTTAATCAGCCAAGTGAACTCTCAAGGGATGAAGAGTTTTAAGAAAGAAAAAAAACTATTCGCGACTTCCACAACTCGAGATATTTAAAAAAATGCAATATAGTACAGATTTACTAGAATTATGTAGGCTTCGAAAAAATTTCTGGACGCCTCGAAGTCACTGAACGGATCTTGAAGTTTCAGTATCATTCTCCTAGAGATTTCTGAAATCATTTCTGGATCTCCAGAGGTCATTCAACATTTTTCAGTAAGAATGTAATAGAAGTTTCTAAAACAATTTATGGACGTCTCGAGGTCACTGAACAGATCTGAAATTGAATGCACACAAACTTGTCTGTCTCTGCGCTGTAATCGCTGGGCCAGTTCGGGCTCGAGATCTGCTTCTTGTCCTTCTCAACCTTTTCGATTTTATAGTCAGCTGTTCGAAAACACAAATTTTTAACTCACGTTAGAATTTTAATCAACCAAGTGAACTCTCAAGGGATGAAGAGTTTTGAGAAGAAAAAACTATTCCTGACTTCCACAACTCGAGATATTCTTAAAAATGCAATACAGTACATATTTACTGGACTTGAGGCTTCGAAAATAATTCCTGGACGCCTTAAGAGGATCTCTAAAGACTTTAGTAAAGACCTAGAGGTCTCCAGTAAGTTGTAAAAAGTCATTCTTACATTATCTTCAAAGATTTTGTTAAATACCTGCAGAGCTCCAGTGACTTGTCTAGACTTTAATTTCAGTATCACTCTGCTCGAGATTTCTGAAATAATTTCTGGATGCATTGAGATCATGCAACATATTCAGTTTTCAGTAAGATTAAAATAGGTATTTATAAAAAAAAAAATTCTGGACGCATTGAGGTCATTGAACTAGTCATTCCTTTTTGTTTCCCTTACAGAAGCAAGTTCCGTTGCAGTAGACATCTTGACCACCCAGGCAAGTGTTCACTGGGTTCTGGCAACTGGGGCAGGTGTTGTCCTTGATGCACTGATCAGCACTGGCAACGAAGTGGTATCCCAAGTTACACAAGCACTTTCCATCGTAGCACACGGAATTCGGGCTCCTTGAAACGCATTCGAGAGTAGTCCGACATTGACTGCCGATTCCACTGGCTGCAAAAGAGGAAGAAGAAAAACAGAATATTGAACGAGGTGGCCGACTGAAAGCTCATGAAGATGCATAAAATTTCCCGAGATGCTGGAACAGTGTAAGTGAAGTACTTATCGCCCAACGCGAGAAGTATTTCAAAGGCTGTTGGAATGCGGCATAGCATTTACACTGGTCGACTTCATTTACTGACGTTGCCTCTGGGCAAATACAGTACTGTACAGTCTACCGAAATGATTAATCTTTTTGTCTAGGCATACATTTAATCAGCAACGAAATTATTAGTTATTTTGATTACGGAAGAACATGTGGGTTTAAGCGAACTTTCGGCTCGAAGACATGGAAAGGATGTACGCTTCGGAAAAACTTACTTAAAGGTCTTGCTTCTTATTAAATTTCTTTGTAAGTGATATGAGTATACAGTAATTTACAATTCAATGGCGACTGCCTTCAGCTTAAGTTAAAAACGAATTAGTTCTTTTTCTGTATGCATGAGCAATGTTCCCGTAGCTCTCGAGCATAATACTATAATACTTTTTATCATGCATAAATTTTAAAATATATATGTTAGTACAGTACAATATTTCGCTTTTTTAAATCTCCGGATAGTTGGTGACGTTGAATATCTCTGTTTTACGGAAATGGCTTGTAACTCGCAATGGAAATGTACGGTTTTAAAATATCCCAGCGGGCTTTTTGGTCGTTTAAAAATGGCCGATGATAGAAATGAAAAATATGCTCAAAGGAACATTGAAACGTCCATTCTTTTGCTATTAACTATCTGGGGTAGGTTCGGAGGCAAATAAAGTCTTTGGCTTTATTAGGTGCGTTTTTATTAGGGGTGCCCTTAAGTCAAGGGTGGACCCAAAAGCAGCATTTTAAGAACAACGTTAGGGGCATATAGATTCGAGAACATTTGTATGCAAATTTGTTTCGTCGCAAACATTTCGTGTTCGGCGTTGCTGAGAGGAAACAACCGCGTTGAGCGATCGGCGATTTGCATCTTATTAGAAGAGGTCATTCATCTAGCAACGGAACAGTTCCTTCCGTGTGATCTTGACAAATGCGAAACGAACTTCATTATTTCTTGTTGTTGCTCCTCATGAGTTCACTACCACATGCCTGAGATGAGAAGGCGCTTGGAAAAACTTGAATTCATTATTTCATGGTTGATGCTTACGCTGAGATATTTTTCGTTCAGCAAAAAGCATCTCATGAATGTTATTTCCTTCAGACTCGTGACGAATTGTACATATTTTTAGTACAGTATTCGGGCGGGGATCCGGAAAACAGCGATCACTGAGTTTTCGCAATGAGATTGTGCATTCCATCTCTATTAACTTCCAGAATCCTCAAGGATCAAAATGCAAAGCATGATCTTTCACCGCATTTTATACCCGTTTATTTTTATGAACACAGTTCAGACCTTCTTGGAAAACTTGAAATACAGTATCGTTGAAGAAATTCTGGGAAACCTGAAGCACCCGAAACCCCGTCAGTGTCACACAAGCGATGCTCTATAACCTATAATGAGACTGTAAGGGCATATGAACAGATTTTTTAATAATTGAGCTTTCAGTCACATTGCCTTGGCTTACAAAAAGAAATAAATTGTGTTTAATACAGTATAAGTTCGTCTAATTTAATAAACTTTAACGAATCGAATATCATAAATGCAAGTGCTGCGGCTGCTCTCACATGAATTTCAGCAGATTCGGGTTTCAGGGATAAAATCTAAGATTTTTGAATTGAAACCGATAAAAAAATCTGAGGAGATTTAGAATAGATACGGTAATATACCATAAAAAAATGTGTCCATCTTTAGCAAAGGCAACTGCGTTGTAACAAAATTCAGTTATTCGACACAAAATTTCTTCGATGTCCAATTTACTGAATCACGAAATGCTTTTACAATCGGAGCAACCGAAGCATAAAAAAGTGCAGTCATTTAAATCTCAAACAGACGCTGCGAAGCCGATCGAACTCATTTTATTCTTCCAAGAAACGATGTTTTAATTACCTGTTTAGTGCATAACGCTGATGAAGTATTCAGCTTTTACACACGGGTGTTTTCGTGTAAAAGCAAGTTGAGCCAACTCCCGGGGCGAAATATTTGCAAACTACAGTCCGACCAGGTGTAACCAGTAAAGCAAACCCGAGAGCAACGTTTTTTCTTCAAGGGAATCGGGCGCACATTATAGGCCATAAACGCTTCGGTTTACGCTCGGAACCCCGCGGAAGAAAGTAGAAGAGAGAATTGTTTTTTCTCTCGCAACGCAGAGAAAATCTGGGGCACTAAACTCCGACATTATGCCCGGGGTAATGCTCGGCAATTTTCCCGTGTTAGACGGAACTCCCGGTCTCGCCTAGTGGGAGCCTTGCTTATTTTTCTTCGCTCTGAAGATGAATTGTGCCTCAGTCGACTACAAACGTGTCTCGAGAGAAGAGCAGGGATCTCACTAGCTCATGGACAACAACCCGGGGTGAGGGAACGATTTGCAATTTGGGCCACTTGGGATACACCAGGGAAGAAACCCCTCCCTCCGGGGGGCAAATTGATATAGGTGAGCAACAGGAACAAGCTCTTGTCCAGGGTTCAAACCTCGTGAAAAATCGAGGGAATCTCTCGCCGAAACTTATACTGTAGCTCTCGTCAGTCATATTCAGACATTTAAAAAGTGAACAACGGAATGAGAAACGCGGAGTATCCATCAACCAAGTGTGACGACCTGACCTCGTAAAATTCGTCAATATTCAAATCGTATTCCAGCTTTATTAAAAGGTCAGTTCCGAGGCGAACGATTAAAACGAGAGAAAATTTCTCTACTAAATGTGATGGGAAAATATATCTCATGAAATGAGTCCATTCCTCGTAATATTTCATGCCATGAAGCTTTTCAAAACTGAGCTTTCGAAGAGATTTTAAAAGGTTAGCAGAAACAACAAATGTGCGCAGCACAATCGGCTTCAAGAAGAACATGTAAACGAACATCGAATGCATGTCAAAAATTTAGCAGCAAACCAAACTAAAAAATTTACAATACCAACGATTCCTTTATCCTAGGGCTACGAAAATGTCTGACAATTCTTTCAATGCTTTACTAATTTTAGTTACCACAACCAAGAAAATTTGCTCAGAGTTTTTGCTGTTTGCACGAATGAAGATGAGCAATGCTGCTCACTAACATCTCCAGCCAAATTCTTTTCAGATTTTGTGCCAAAACGAGGCCGAAATACGTGCAATCATGGACTCTTTAATTTTTCTTCAATCAAATTTTTAAATAGATTTACTATAAAGGCTAGTTTCGGCTTTTAAAAGTTTGCGCATCCCGGGAAAAGCTCCAAGCGACGAACCTCAAGAGAAATGCTTTAATTAAATCATGTCTTCGACCCCGCCGAGTTGTCTGGCTCAACAACAAGCCCCCGGTGGGGAATGCCTCCAGGGCAACTTAGCGGTTCTCCAGGTTGTAGCTGCCCCATAAAAAAAACTAGCTTTCAAGACGGTGTTACTCTCACAGATATATTTGAAATACTTGTACTTCTACGTGAAATGGAGGACTCCGCAGGATAAAAAGGGAAGTAAAACTTCCTTTGGGGATTCCGAGTTGCTCCGAATGATCTTAATCGAGAATTTTTCTCACATTAAAGGTGCTGATTTCTCTGAATAAAAAAAGTTTTTGTTGCTGTTGCTGTTGCTGTTTAATCGCAAATACTTTTCCAGGACGCGTTCATTGAATATTCATCCTGACGGCCGAGTTGCTCAGTCAAGCAAATGTTTCACAGCCAGCGCAAAGAGATGGTGTCATCCAACTGGCGCCGAACTTTTTCTTTCGAAACATCAGAGAAAGGTGAAGGTGGAACATTCGAGAAGGATAAAAATAACAAGGTCCGGTTATTTGTCAGGTGCGAAGCCTCGCATCGACCGAGTCGCCAAAGTGAGACTTTTACTGCTCGTAATTCAGCAAGTCGACGTCAACCGTCTTTCTTTTTTTTTGATATCTTATTTTAAAATAATAATAATTTGGTTGAAATGCCAGAGCTCCTGCTCTGAACAGCAGCTCTACTTTCGCACCTTCGAGCCAAAAAACTAGGGCGAAGCATTTTCGCAGAAGCAATCTTCATCCAGTCTACTTTGCTCACGCATCATTGCGTTCGAATCACGCGACGAAACTCCTGGGCGAAATAAAAAATACTCTAAATGAAATAAAAAGAATATAAATATTTTGGGCGTTCGGGGAAGATATTACAGCAATTCGATCGTCAGCTGAGAGCATCAACCAATGGTGAGAAAAAAAAAAAAAAAACTGCCAGCAAGAAAGCAAAATCTCCCTAAAAAGGCACCTAAAACGCCCAAGAAAAGACCCATCATTGAGTCACCAACCACCTGTTTCGAGGGATGAAGTTAATGCCCACTATGTAGCTTAGCTTTTGTCAGCTTACGCGAAGAACTGCGTTTTAGACATGAATAGAACCACAACATTTTGCATATGAGGATCATTCTCTACATATAGGGAACGAAAAACCTTCCACGAGTAATTTTTCTAATTGAATGCTACGCATAAGAAAAAAAAGAGAAGAGAAATTTCAGAGGACAAAAAATTTGATATCATATGAAACCATAGGTCATCGGACGACTTTTCCTGGTTGATTTGCGATTTCGTGGGTGACATTTTTTGCGATTTGGTGAACTGAGCTTAATGAAACGGTCCTCTTAAATTGAAAAAAATATTGACCGAAATTCCCCCCAAGTAGCGCAAAAATCAAGTTCCTCGATCATGACTCCAGCATAATTTTTAAATTTTGACAAGGAAATAATAGCACTGTATCAGTTCACTTCTCTCACGGTACTGTATGTTCCGTACATAACCATTCCGTCTTATATCACATCACACTTCTTCACATAAGCTGTCTTCCAAATTCAAATACCTTCGTTCTACTTTAGAGTCATTCTAAAAAGCATTAAAATAATATGTCAGTTTTATGATTGGAAAATTGTAGTAGGTTTATATTTACCATAATTCGCCTAATGATCACCGGAAGGGCGAACATCCGAGAAATTCAAAATTTGAGTGCACGAGAAAATTGAAGATCAACGAGCCAACTGAATGCATGACTCGGCTTTTCAAGGACCAACTTTACGACTTCATTAAAATCATACCCCGGATAACGGACGCTTAATATCTTAAATATATTGCTCTATGAATCCTGCGGCAACCGCTTCATTTAATGAACCATCCTTTTGCACAATTCGGACTATAGAGACATTTATTTTGAGTACACATTCGAAAATTAAAGTTGCTGAGATGAGCATCACATATAAACGAGTTTTTGATATCCTAAAATGTGTTTCGGGCTGTTTTCCTGGTTTGAAATCTGTGTTCAAAAATTATTCGTCTGAAAATTCACAGAAGACATTTTCTCGTGATCTGAAGAGAATTATCAATCATGTACAAGGAGGCAAATTACACAGCTAAGATCGTTTTTTATATCGGGTATCTGAAACCAATTATCTATGATATGGAGCTTCCCAAGGCTCCATTGATGGACTTTTCGGATAATGGACTCCATCAACCGAGGCACCACTGTATTCCGAATCATTCTTCCGGTGGATAGCGTCGGCGACAAGCAGTAAAACGGGGTGGAAAAATTCGGAAGCCGCGTTCCGGGGAAAAGTCGCCGTGGGAGAGGAAAATCGACTCCGTTTTTCTTCCTCTTTTCGTTATTTTCTTCTTTTGATTTCTTCTTTTTTTTTGCTTGCCATGGAATCCGTCACAATTCCCAGGGCTCCGCGTGCGGTAGTACTGCGTGGAACGCGTCAACACAGGCACGCGATTTCTCGCCGCAGCCCGTTAAATCCGGTGGGCGCTGGGACCGAAACCCGCCGAGGGACGGGATCGTATGCAAAACCGCAGAGACAAAGCTCGACATTCACGCCAGCGTGGGACGCAACCTGGAATCGACGCACCTAAGCAAGTAAGGCGTGAATCCGTCCCACTGTTTGCAAGTCATGTTTGAATGAAGGTACGGTACCATTTTTTTTTTGTGGTCCGGATTCCATTCGTCAAGCGATGTATTGAATGAGTTACATTTAGGACGGTAGGGTCGACCTGTTCCAGATGGAATACCAACGATTTCTACTGTTGCTGGTGAGAAAATTAAACTGAAAATTGCCAAATGAATTTAAGACGCGGACATTTCTTGTTCGTCATGAAGGCATCACGCACTTGTGGCGTTTCAGATAGTATGACAGTTGAATACATTAGTTGCATGACCAACACACACTTCCGAATTACATTATGTCATAAAAGAAATTTTGAAAATTCTTGCTCGCACTTTCAGTTCAATATCGCAAAAAGTATTACCCTGTTCTGTTGGAAGTTTAAGCAGGTATTTTGATCATCAGTAGAATCAAGGGATTTTTTATTTTGAAGAAGTTTAATGAGATGGAAGTGCATTTTACTTTTACAAATGTTTCAGTTTTTGGGCGCAAGAACAGAAATTCTCCTCAAGATGAGAGTAATTTCATGAACAAAATTACGGTGTTCATCTCAGTAAAGAAAATAGGCAGGAAAGAAACACGTATGTTCTTCACTATGAATAAAAATCGTGAATGAATAGGGTCACATATGAAAACATTTTGATAAATCAACTTCGTAACGCTTTGCGTTCAAAAATCACTGGACAAGTAAAATTTTCTAATTTTTTCTATTCTCTTCGACGCCTCATTATACAATCAAACATCGATTTTCAAGGGAATGCTCTTCTCACATCCAGGATCAAAGAACATCATCGTGACTCATGCCATTAAATGACACAATGGTTCTTTTTCTGCAAAATAGAGCTAAATTCAAACCTATTGACAAACGTTTGAATACAGCGTTGGAAAAAAGCACGGGAAATCGAGAACATACAAATTCCGAAATTTTCAAACATACCGTATTTGGACTTTTATTGGAAAAATGTCAAAAAGGCTCTTTTCCATCATAAATCCTGAAAATTTTGCCTTATTTTTGCTGAGTAATACAGTATCATTGTTGGGTTTTGAGGGTTGGTAAGTGTACTGTATATGGAATCCAGAATGAACGTATAGGACAGGATCGACCCCGAGCCTCATGGATACGATTCAATGCCTAACTTGAAGACCACTGTTCACAGAATCTGTTCTAGGGAGTCTTCAGCGCTAAAATAGGGTTTCAGAAAAGGTAACAGCTGTTGAAACATCACGCAAGGAAACGTTCAACAACATTTTCTCGCTGAATAAGCCCTCAATATTATTTCCCCTTACCTGCAAATATAGATACAGTACTTCACACAGCTTTTTCGCCACATTGAATATTTCAAATAATGCAATCAACTGCATACGGTTACATCCAAATCCGAAGATGCTCAAGATAGACGCAAAATAGAGTTGGTAAAGCTCGCATTCAAGGGCAAGGATACTGAGTGTCATCATAGGAGGACTTAATCTCAAACATCAACCACGTTTGTCAAAATAAAAATTGACCGCTCGTGGTTTAGTATCTTCACATAACTTAAATACTCTTGAAATCCAACTGGGCATTCAGGATTCGTAGTGATCCGTATTTTCTTTGCCTCGTTATTCACTCACTTCGAAAATGTTCACTGTGCCATTTCAAGAAAATTATCAGTGATGGGTCCCCTGTCTCCCCCAAGAATTTTTTTTCACGCGAAATTTTTGTAATGAAAAACGCAATTTCACTCAAGGTTGCATCACTCCGGAAAAATTATTTGATTTGTTCCAGGCACTCACAGAATGCCTTCATAAATCTTGAAGATCGTTTATTCCCAGTTTTCAGCATACAATTTCGAATTAAAAATCGATTAGTATGAAATGGAAGTAATCCTGACTCCTTATTACTCTCAACTTTCCGGATTTCAGAAATTTCAAAGACAAGGAGAATGCAGGGTTTTGGTCCAAAACTTGCTAAATTTGAGCATTGTTCACCCGAAACATTTCGTCATGTGAATCAATTTTGAATTTTGCCCTAAAAAGTTCCTATAAACTCTTGGAGTCCTCCTAACTGTACCACACATGATAGATGGCGAAATTAAATTGATTCATTCCTTAGGCCTTGTGTCGCACCATCTGCCACATGATGAACACGGGGGAATGGGGATTTAAATGTCTTGTTGAGCTGATTTCCCTCAGTCACGTAAAGCGAGGCATGACCGCACAACACCGATTTTTCAGCATGTATTACGTCCACTTACTGTTTGAAAAAGGACGCATTTATTCTCGCAGCGCAAGGACCTTTTTTTGTGTGTGTTTCTTTCTGACTTTAAGTAAGGGGCTAGTCATGGGAAACGATGAGACGCCGAACCAGTTGATGATACAGAACGCGGTTGCGTGTTGCAAAGCTAACGGTGGGGATGGCCCAGTAATCGCCGCCGGCAGCTTCATTAAAATCGGAATCACGTCCTCCAAAGACGAAGGGAAAAGAAAAAAAAAAACCAGACGAGAAAAAGAAGAAGGCACTCCGATTCTGACGGCATCACACAAACCGGTCTGATTGTTCTAACGGCAGCCCAGGCAATTTACCCGGCCTGCATTAGTATACCACCCTCCGTGGCTCTAGTTTTAATTGCTCCCTTCTCCAGGCTGTGCTCTCGTTTCTGCTTTGTGATCATCGACCTCACGGAGCGGAGGATTTTCTTTTTTCGCTTCTTCCTGCGTTTGATTACCCGCGTGCCGACTTGGGAGAAGAAAATTAAAAAAAAAAAAGAATCAAAAAAGGAGACCTCGCGGGAATGCAACAGAGAAAGCTGGTGATGTTCGCTGATCTGCAGAGAAGTGTCGACAAGTTGGCGATATGGAAAGCCTCGGTGGCTGTCCGAGAAAATCGCCGGCAGTAGGAAATTTGATTTCCCTCGGGGTGACCCATTTTCTCGGCAGGGAAATTCAGAAAACGGAAACAGACGCCGCCCAGTTTTTTTTTTTTTCATTCTGCTACTAGTTGTCGTTGGCTTTTCAGCACAATTGTTCTTCCTTCATTACGAGATCCGCGGGAACAAGGCTAGCCGACTTTCTTCCCGGAGCCGGAAATTCGCAGAATTTCGTTCTACTCATCGCAACCCAGTGGAGCAAGAACGAGAAGCCCCTTTAACGATGAGAAAGCCAAGCGAAGGGAAATTCCGGGACTCCCGAAAATTTTTTACGAATCGCTGGAATTTTCGGCCTAATTGATTCCTCTTGAAGAACTCACGTGCTTCGAAAATACCGGAAAAATCGCTGTTCAAATTACTCCAGAATTTCGACAATCCGGCTTTCAGTAATTTACTGTATTCGCTGAGAGGCCTGTGTGATCCAATTTCCTTCTGATTGAATAATAATAATGGATAATCGCTTGGTGAATGAACTTCGAAATTTATGGGAATGCCAGTGATATTATTTCAGGTAATCTTTCAATGATTTTTTCCTTCGAATCATGGAATTCATTTTCCGATACCAAATACGATTCTTCAGTATCCAGAAAAAGGCACCCAGTAATAAGCGCAGAAAATAACAGTTCTAATATATTGCTAAAGAAGCAACGATTTTCTCTACAGTAATAAACTCGCAATTCTTTCTGATGCTGTTATTTTTTTATTGGTGGAAGAATAGCTTCCTTGCAAGGAAATTATCCAAATAACATTTCATTATCTATGCCCGACTACTTTCAGAAGCCTGCAATCCAGTAAATGCGAATGTGAGCCTGCAATTTTTTCAGAGAATAAATTTAGTCTACTGCTAATACATATTACGGATGACAATCTGCAGATGGCAGGATTTAACCACGATTATCTCATTTATCTGGATTTTAAATTGGAAGGAATACCAAAGGACGATTAAAATACCAATGCCTCGGCGGAAACATTTTTCGTAGTGAAGCGATTTTTCTGAACTGAAAAAGGAGCGAAACGCTGAATCGCAGTGTAGAAGCATATTTCCTTGAATTGTTGGCGTTCTTTGATCCCATGTCACGAGGGAACGTTCAAAATCTCTACTTTTAAAGTGCCACGATTCGTTGCCACCGAAACCGTTTTTCATCAAATTCTAGAAAATGAAGTGGTTCGAAATTCTATGCTAATCGCTGATGACGCGAAAACGCGGGAATTTCAACGCTCTCGCATCCGCGAGTGCTTAATGATCTGGAACGCATTTTTCTTCCTCAGCAGGAGATACCTGATATCATTCTGCGGAAAATAAAACTTTTGCAATGCTCAGGTTAATTGGCCTCTTTTTTTTGTTTTCCGCGGGCTTCGGAGCGACAAATAGTCTGACCAGAAGACAGACGCTCGCCGCGAATGACTGAAAAGCAGCATTCATCTCGCCGCAACGAAAAACCGCAAATTTTCTGCCGATGCGGTTCGCAAAACATTTTTTACGCACCCTGCCAATTACTGCAATTCTCCAAAACTTTAAAAAAAAATTATCGGCCCAGCGAAAAAAGCGCCTTCTATATGAGGTGACAGGCATAATCAAATTTACTCCTGCAAACGAACCCATTATTTGAACCACTTTGAATTGAAATCTCTCGATATGTTTTTCTTCAGAAAGGAATAGAAAAACTGAATCGATTTTGATGAAATGTTCCTGGTTTTTAACTTGTTCATGCTTTCAAAACTCAGTCAAAACCAAGAAGAAATGTGTTGCCTTATTGATAATAACGTTGTGCACGAGCGAAAGGAACATTTTTAGTAATAAATCGAAAGCTCTGATCAGCTTTAAAAATAATTTTGAGAGCTTATTCTAAGGAATATTGCCTTAAAATGATTACCTCAAGCTCATATTACACATCATTTGATTTGCTAATCATGAGTTGCAAGTTTCTATGTAATACAACTATGGAAGCCCCAAAATTTGGAAAATTGTGCTTCGCATACGAACATCGAGCATTTAGTTGCAATTGTGAAACGAGTTATTTACGAAATGCACCGGAAGACATCAGTTGATTTGTAGAATGCAATGTACTAAAATTCTGAGCAGTTTCGAAATGTGAAAAAACTTGCTTTGCGTGGTGAACACGCGTGCTTAGGATGAATAAGTAATCCCCAGCAATAATACTGCAGTTATTACAGTAATCTTATTCTTTTCAAAAAGCAGGCATGAAGGGCACTAATAATTTTCAGACAAAAGCTGTGGGATCATGCAGGATTATACACATTTTTAGTACGGTATTTGCGATTTGATGTCTGTACTTTCAGCGTGATGAATCGACTGAAGAAAGCGTTGGATGATGTGAGAGGTAAATCTGATCGATGCGACTGCGGGGAACCCGGAATTTACAGCAATAACCCAGCGATCATTCGACCTGGTCTTCTTTTTGATTATAGACTATACCGACAATGCTAAGGCTTGTGTAAGAAACCCGGAGAGGTTTCCCATACAAAATAAAGCGATTCAATGTATTCACGCACAGGGAATAGACACTTTACGGCTATTGATCGCGACAAAATTTTGCAAAATGTACATTAATTATGCCGATCACTGCCACCAGAGGCTTGAACGCTGAGATCAACAGATCTCCGGAAAAGTTTCAAGATACAGATAGATGTGTGGGGTATACACACATTGTTGAATTCTTTGTAAATTTAACAACTTTGAAGACATGTTGGTATTCCCCCAACCGTTCCTCGATGTACCATTTATAGCCAATTAATACTTCTATGAGGTTTTTCTTTCGTCTAGAAGTCTTCAAGAAGTCTACGATTTTTCCTTAATTCGAGTGGAAGATTTACAGGTTAACTTCTTCTCAGTGAACCTCCAGATACTTCATTTTCCAACAAATCATGCCCTGATTTATCCTCCTGTTGTGCCTCTACTTAGATTTCACGATATGAGTAATGCGTTGATCTTAAAAGATTGAAATTTTGGGCAAACACCAGGCAAATCTCATAAGCACGAGTGGTATAAACACATCCATTGATTTTGAAGTTTTGAGGTTAAACCGTCGTTTGGGATTCTTTGCTGAACAAGCTCTTGAAATTTGTATAGCCCTTCGAATCGGATACATTTATAAACTTCAACCTAATGTATGTCATTGTTTCAGAGGGCCTGAGTTTTCCTGATTTAATCTGCAAAATGCTGCTGCGTGTAATATTATACAATTATTGCTCAATATCTAAAGGATGTTCGAAGAAGAGCCGTTTCTTTCAGATCAGGGCTTTCGGTGTTTTTCGGAATGTGAAAATGGGCTCAAAATGGCACGAAATCGTACTTAATTTTGAAAGGACCGTTTCCAGTTTCAATTTCACTGCCCTGTCGAATTTGTGTGACTGGATGAGATAAGATTCTTTTAGGGCAAAATTGTCACCAAATTCGCTCCTGATGGGTAACATCTTCACTGGATTTCACTGTACTTGATCCGTTTTAAAGTTTGAACCTATTGCTGGTGACTATAGGCGCTCAGACGTGGGTACTCGATGACTGCCATGTCTTGAAAGTGTTACAACCGGGAGAGAAAAAATATGTTGAAAAGCCGTTTCTTGAAGAGAATTGCGTTGGTAATCAACAGCTTTGGAAGAGTGATCATTCGTCACAAGACTCGCTGATTATACGCAGCAAAGGCAGGGACGTATGGAGGCGGTGCAATTACGCTCTGGATTGATGTCCAGGTGCTTCGCTCGTCGCTTTCCAAGAGAAAGAAACGTAGATGATAAGATTGAGAAGAGATAGATGAGAAGATTGAGGACGAGTAGTCGCCCGAGAATCCGTTGACCACTCGGATCTCCAGAGTTCATCACTGCGACCGAGAAAATCCGAGATTTGTATCTCAATGTGTCACCACAACGGGTTTCCAGTCGGACGCGGAGATAATTGCCCCCCAGTGTCCTTTAATCATGGGACCGCGTCCCGATGAGCTGCTTCTTCAGGGCGTGACAGGGAGATGAGTGACTCTTTCCCTGCCAGCGATTCCAGCGGGGTTCACCAAACTTTTCTTTTTTTCAATGAAGCTGAGGTTCTCGACGTTTCTGATTCCCACGACCACATCCGGAATCAATTCAGATCCCTTCATACGAAAACTATTTTTCTTTTGGTCTTCAACTTGAGTCACGAACATCGTCATCGCAACCTTTCCCAAAAACATTTTCTGAAGGTAGAGAAAAAAAAATCTTAAAGCTTTCACGTAACTAAGTCGTTCTCGAATTTTTCCTTAATTTCCCTGGGCGATGAAAATCCGAGAAGTCTTTTTTTTTTTTTTACTTGAATGCAACATCAATCGAAATTACCGCTGTTCCCGTTGAGGTAGAACCTTTGATATTGGGCTTCTAATACTTTAATATGCCACGAGAAAGGTTTCAAGCAATTTTATTTAGGACCATGCTGCTGCAACAGAAAGTGCAACCGAGTCGTGGTGGTCAATGATGCCAACAGTTGAATTCCAATTCACACTTTAGGATTCCGCAATATTTATTTTTGGCAACAGCAAAATTGAAGATAAAGCCCGAAAAAAGTAATGTATCTCAAAATTGAGCACACCAAGGTTGACTCTCCACGATATTTGGAAACACCAAAAATTATTCGCTAAACGGAGAACATCATTTCAGACCAGCCCAGTAACAGTAAAATGCTTCGCTGGAATTTTTACGGGGGTTATGAAAAAAACATTTACAGTAATGTACAGTATTATAATGAAGAATATACGATAAATACCGTCTACATGTGGGAAGGCGTCCAAAAAGTGACTGGGGATGGGAGAGAGTTGCTAATGGAATGAAATTTCAATCAATAATTTTTGATATTTAAAATTGTATTTTCTGCGGACATTTCTTCAGGACTCGAATGCATCTTCTGTTGTGGCAGTATGTATAGCAATACAGTATCTTGAATGAAATTCCACTTTTCTTGAAACCTTCCTTGTCGCAGATTTAATTCTTAGAAACCTCATCAGCACGAATGAAGGATGATGTAAGGAACACTGCATGTGCCACCTCAACGTGATGGAACAGTAATTTTTATGATGTTGCATTCAACGTTTAAAATAAAATGCGAGACTCCTCTGATTTTGCGAGCTCGAAAGATTATATTCCATATTTCATTTCAGAGCTTTTCCGACTACACGGAGCGTGACGAAATGAACGCTTCAGTCTCGATTTGCGTGTTCTAATTACTTCTTGAGGAAATCATTGCTTCTACTTATTCTGGTTCATGAATTCAAAAAGAGCAGTTTGGCGGAAGGAGCGCACGGATGCGAGCCGTGAATTCTAAAAGGGCGTGTTTTTGAATACCGGAGAAAAAGGAAGGAGACATGTTTGTCGCTGTATATCGGAGGACATTCCTCTAGTCCATTCCCTCGTCTTCTTCTTCTTTTTTTTGTCACCAAGATTTAAAAGACGGGCTCAGAAAGGCGCCCAACGTGACGCGGCGCGATCGCCTTATGAAGTTTGCGCCGCGAAAATGGGAGCGCGAACACGCCTCGTGACGTTGCGATTCGGCACATGAGCGATTTCCGGGCAATCACGACGAGAGCAACTTTTCGACCCACTTTCCGAAAAGGATTTCCCTCGGAAAAGCGGAAAGAAAAACGCAGCAAAATAAAAGCGGACGATCGGGAGGAAAGAATAGAAAAGCTTGCGCGAAAAGCCACCGCTAAACCCCGGAAGGTCTGACGCTGGTCACTCAGCAGCCCGTCACGGAAACCGAGTACTTCGAGTGATTTTATTTATTTGATTATTATAATATTATTCTGCGGTCATTGGATGACACACATGAATTTTTAATAAGCTCAGGAAAGTGAGTGACCCGCTTGGCATTCCCAATCCGCCGGGTTCTGGCCAGCATGTTTCCCTAACGCGTCTCGGCGTGAAAACTAAGCATGATTTCCATTGAGAGGAACATGAACGTCATTAAGGCACTGTATAAGGCTCGAAATAATCTGCTATAGATTACAGGGTGGACCGAAAAGCAGTTGGCTAATTTTCAAACAGTTATAATTCAAATCCCAACAGCCATAACAGTTAGTGTTTCGACCAGTCGGTCTTTTTGCCGCAAATAAAACCTGCGGATTCCAATAAAACTGTTTCCACTGACCCATTTTCTCTGTTGCATACCACCTTATGACTTCTTTGTTCGATTTTTATGAAATAAACAGTGTAACGATATTAAAATAATTTAAATAGCCAATGAACAAGCCACTGAAAATGTATCAAACCCAGAATAGTCTGCTGTCCTCTGCAAAAAATCATGACGTCGCAGAGCTACATTTATTAAAACAAGTTGTCCGATTCTGTGTCATCCAGTGCATGTAACATCTCTGTAGGCTGTTGTTCATGGGAACGAAAGAAAATCTGGAAACTCTTCTCACCGTTGAAAATTTCTTCAATTCAGAAAACTAACGGAATCAAACTGCCAAGATAACCGAGGCTTTGAAAACTTATTTTTTCATGAGTTACTTTTCTTTTCGTGGACATGGTGTTGCCATGAATTCAAGTAGAGAATTCGATCGACGAATTGTAATTCAATGAAGTGATAAATGAATGGGCTCCGGTTCATAAAAATTCAAAAAGTTTTTAAATCAGCGTTTCAGGAGGTTCTACGTTTATTTTGTTCACCCTGTATAACCTGACTATTTTTTTCTGACGACTTCATATCCTTCGGACACTTTTTGAAACCTAAGACTGCTGGTATTTGTCTACTGAATTAATTTCGGATAGCATAACGGAACATCCTTCGGGGGAAGCGCTGAACGGGTAGTGTACATGAGACGTACCCAATGTGGTGAAAGGATTTTTTTCTTGAATTCGCAAGAAAGAAACCAACACAAAAAAGAAACCCTTCGATCGTCATTCACTTTGTAACTCCGCCGATTTTTTGTGAGAATAGCTCTTCCAATCGTTTCGCCCATTTACGAGCTTTCAACATTTTCAGAAACTTGAAAAATATGTTGCTCTTATATGCTCGGTTGAATTATTCTCAAAATTCATCGACCAAAGTTCTGTTGAAGTTGCAAAAATATCTTGGCACTTAACAGAAGCTCTCGGTTCCTTTATTCCTCCAAATGTAGTACAGCTGACCTGAATTTTATTTTATTTAAATTCAGAGATATTTTAGGGAGTGCGAAAAAATATTTAAAATTTTGGGAGCATAGAGATGGAGAAAATGTATTGATAAATGTAAACTTCGAGGAATCTTTTGAGCTCTCCATGCTTTCAGAATGGAAAAAAATCTTCCATCACTTGATGTATATTTTTCGCGAAGTCCCTTGTATTAACCAAGGCAACCTCTGAGCGACTGGGCAACTCAGAGTCGTACACTTGGGCGTCGAGAACAACTGATCGTTGGACGAAAAAAGTACAAGTTTTTCAAAACTAACCTCTTTCGTTGGCGTTGGCACGACGGAAGGGATTGCGGACGTTGATCGGAAGTCGCAGGGCCCCGAAAATTTGGTTCATGGTGCTGACGACGGCGTCGTTTCCTTCCTGGACAGATGGGATGTTCAGGCCGGGTTGGTTCGAGTTGTCGCTGAACAATTGCGCCGACGCCGCGGCAACCAACAGCCAAAGGCTTCCGACAGCTAAGCAAGTCTTCATCTCGGAAATTTTACTTATTTTCCTTTCCTTTCCTCCCACGCGGATGCGAAAAAAGAACCTCGGGCTCGGGCGACTGGCGTCCGCGACACTCTCTGGATCTTCGATGAGCAAACGGATGAAAGTCTCAGTCTAAAACATTTCAAGTCAAGCCATGAAACAAGTCGACCACGGGCTCCGAGACTCGGCTGAGCATTCAAACATCGTTCTTCAACTTCGCGTCAACTTCGACAAAAAAGCCTCCTCGTGATTGGTGTTCGCGCAGCACCAGAAAACCGCGAAGTTTGCCAATAACCGAGACCCTCAAGAAGCCCTTTTTTTCTGAGACCACACACAACACCAAGTGAACAACATTTTTTTTTCTTCTTCAAAGATCCAACTCAAAATTAAACTCAGTGTAGGAGCCAGTTGCGATGCGAACTGCTCCTTGGACAACAGCGGAGTGGCACCAGGGGCTCCCAACGTCTTGAATATATCGCCCAAGCGAGGTTGGGAATATGGCGGGAAGCCGAGCTGCTGCTGCTGCTGCTGCTGCTGGGGTTTCGTGAAAACTCGCGGCATTCACTTCCGTCACTCTCCATTCCTTTCCCACTGCACTTATTTCGCATTTTGACAAGCCTTGCTTAAAGGACGCGTAAAAAAGGGGACTTTGAAAGCCATGTCATGTCATGAAGACGTCTCGCTTATGAAGCCGCTAAAGAGGCCGGAGGTTCGATATAGCGTCTCTGATCGAGCTTAATGACGATTTTTTGCCGCTGACATGCTCATCCTATTTCCTGAAATACTCAAGCTACGATAATGATCCAAGCATTGAAGTAAACCGTAGGAAAGTATCGTTTGAATCGTGGTTTCGTCTCAGGGTTTACTGCATTGGTATGCCCACCCTGCAAATTTGAATCAAACATATCTCTGGGAAAACTTACTTTCGGCTTCCTTTGCGACGATTATAGGGTTTGCATAAAATGTATTCCATCAGGTGGGAGTGGCCGAAGTCGTAAAATCCTGTCATTGTTCGGAATGATATTGCAGGCGTGTCTATTTTCCAAGAATTTTTAACGGATGTTTCAAAAGATCGTTTTCCTTCGTTTCGCATAAGGCCTTCAAGAACTTTTTTTGGGTCAAGGTAGGGCCATTCTTACATGCAGAGAAAGAGTCCTTTGTTACGGTCCCGATTCTGAAAAAAAGTTGCATAAGCGTTCATTCAACTTTTTTTCCAACAATCACTCCTTTCCGAGAATTTATATCAACGAAGGAAATACAGTTAATGCATTTGTTTGTGTGTCAATGACTCAGAAAGAAATAATATTACATACTGTATAAATAATGCAGCATTGTATTTTTAGATGCTTCTGGGATCCCCACTGTTCCGTCCATCAAAATGANAAAATAATTGTTGAAATCTCGTCCAAGTTGGTTGAAATGTCCATTCTTATGTTTATAGTTGCATACTTAGTGATTAAATTTTGCTTAAAATTCAATATTTATAAAGGGAATAAAAATGCTGGAATTTAGAGAGGGATATCTCAGATGGTTTCATTTGACCAACTTCAAAATGGTACGTCTTTTCCATCTTAAGCATAATGAAAATGATGTTAGAAATTAAAATCCAATCACCAGAAAAAGAGTAAAATGGGGAGTGGTTCATATTTGTTTGGCATCAATTTCCTTCTAATCAGACCAAGTAGGAAAAAACTTTCCAGAAGCTGTTTTTCATTGTTTGTTTTTCATGAAGCTTCCAACTTCATGAGCCACTTTTACTTCAGCGCATAAAGATTTTTTTCGTGAATCAAATTACACGTGCTATGTACAAGAAGGATGAAACCCCCCGGAGGTGAGGAAGTCACCCTCCCGAAAAATTAATCTCAAGAGCTATAATTAAATCGCGTTGCTGCGGGGGTTGAAAAATTCAGTTTACTGTTCAAATCGAGTACATGATTAGCGAGAAGTGCCAGGTGTGTGAGATGGGATGGAAATTAATGGCTACAAGCCCTCGTCATGGAAGGCAGGAAAAGCGTGATGGAACTCTGGAAGTGATATCGGGTACTAGCGAGAGTTTGAGTATTTGTCAAGCCTGGACACTTTCCTAACCCAAGATGGTAACCAGAGGGTTAGACATGCGACTCCACGGTTGTCAGAACCGATAGTATTTCACCAAGAAGCTCACGTCCATCAAAGTATGAATGCATTTCTCTTGGATTTTGAAAGTTGAATCCTGCCCGCGAGGTTTCATCGATGGATTTCTTGATTAAAAAAAAAAATAAAATAGCGTCAAGGCGACTCAAATGCGCGGGTCTGTTTCCATATACATGGGGTTCAGTTGTTAATTTCAGTTGCCGAGGAATTTGACCGAATCTGCTGATTCGGAAGGCATGAAAGCAGACGTTTTCCTTCTTCCAGACTGCTGTACAAAGTAGAACCCACCAGACTTGCTGCCGTTTGTTCGTACAGCGAGGAAATGCCGAGTGAATGCAGCCATCCGCTGAAGCGAGAACTTTTGATTAACGTTGGTTAGCGACAACCCATTTTTCGGCCCGAACGAAAGTGTTTCACACAGTGACTTATTTTGTTGTTGCTTTTCCTTTTCCGCACAACAGATGGAGGCGTGCTGCTTGCTGCTGGCGAAGGTTGAATATCGCGGAAAGCAGCGCTAATTGCGCTCTGACATCCCTCTGGCGGAAAAATCCGCAGCCGGCGGGTAAAAAATTGCTCAAAGCACCTGCGCTTTTTTTTCAGCTCTGCCCCGGAACGATATCAATTTTTTTTCAATCTTGGGGCCTCTAGCTATGTGAGAATGCGTTTGAAAAACTGAAAATTTACATTTTTAATGATATAACAAAAAAAATCGCTTTGCAGCTTTCAGATATGGTGGCGGACCAGGACCAGAGGCCTGCGTTCCACAACGCAAATCGTTTAATTGAAAAATAATTGTTGACTGTTTGTCGAGTGTTTCGCTTGAATGGACGGAAAATTTTGATTAAATCGCATTATAAATTCAGATACGGTGCTCTACCTTCACCATAGAATGCTGCAATGCACGAATATTTCCTACAGTCTTAATTTCTGACCTAAACCCCGGTTTTTCGTTGAAAACCAATTATATCTAATCGGATTTTTTCTTTAACCAGTAATTTCCCCCTGAGTACTTCGGGAGAAGTGTAGAGTCTATAGCTGGATTTCATTAGAAGGAATTCAACATTTCTGTAATAGAATCATCGGTAAATTTCCAAGAATGATTTATCGAAAAGCGATTTCTGCTTTAAAATGACTTTATTTTCGCTTATATTTTATAGCTGTACTGTACTGTAAAATCAGCCTCTACGTACGAAAAAACATTATGAATAAATATTTTATTTTTTATTCCGCAAGTATGGTTACAGTGTACCCATAGATATTGTCACATATTTCGAATATTGTCAGATGAAGTACCATGTTAATGGGGACACAATTAAAGGCGAATGAGCCACACAAATATTGAAGGCCTCAAAATTTTAATTTTTCCACGCTGGGCTCCGGAATCTAGATCAATGATTAGTATCCCATTCTTTTCTTGAACGCAAAAATCGCAACATACGCAATAATATCGAAGCTTTGCGTCATGATGACCTATATACAGAGGCTTTTCCATCGGTTTCAGTTTAATTTTTCCTTGTTTTTGTCCATTAAATTCTTCCAACATTGGCTAAGTGCCCACAAAACCAGAGTTATGGAAATAAAAGGTTTTTTTTTTTTTTTTTTACTGAGGTGGAAGAAATTTGAGAGCAGTAGAACAACTGTAGTTTTTAAAAAGCTTCGACTGAGAAGACTGGATGTTCGTTCAATAGCTGGAGCAAGTCATCTTGCAACGAAGCGGTCACCCATTGGCTCCTTTTCTCAGTCTCGCGTCTGCTTTGCGATTCACGCATATTGGCCCCGTCCCGGAAAAATGCCCTGTGGGGACTGACCTCAAAGTTTCCGCGGATCTCATTCAAAGACGCATTCCGGAAGTGGTCACCTGTACTTGTAAGTATGAATTTGATTGCAGTAACCTAATTGACTTTCATTGTAGCAAACTGCTGGTTGCAGAAACTGGTGGACCAAAAATGCAACCGAACTATTTTACATGACAGCAGCAGTATCTCCGAGAACGGTTCAAAATAATGACATTGAAAATCAAATGAGTTCGAGCGCGTCCAATTGTCTTTCAAAAGATGCCTGCGTTTTTGGTTCAGAGAGCATTTTCATCAATTATTGCGAGTTTGAATTATAAATACTTGGACATAAAGTGAACGCGAACTTTCTTTTGAGAACTTGCCTGAGGCACTCGAGGCTTCGAATAACTTCCGAGTATTCAGTCATGAAAACATTCACGTTGTTCAGAATGACATTACAAGGAAGTCTGCAAAATTTAAATGTTTTCCTGTTACTTGAAACAGATTGTCGAAAATGAAATACTGTATATGATTTCGGGCTTACTTCACATTTTCTTTAAATTTCTGCATTCTTTGTTGACGATGGTCAACAAGATGGAAGAATAATTTAGATTTTAAATATATTGATTGATTAGTATGTTACTCATCCATGCAAATCTGGAAAATGTAAGCACATAGTGTATGTGTTTGGAACAAAGAACCCGTGTACAGCTATTCTTTTGCAAGACATTAATTTATTCGCGATTAAAGAATAATACAGTATCTTCAAAAAAGTTGTAAGATATGACCAGAAACAGAACGAGCTATTTTATCTACACGAATACCGAGATGATAGAAAAGCATGCCTTGGAAAATTCGAATTTGTTTTGCTTCTCGCAAAAGTAAAACATTGAAAGTTTATTTAAAAGTAAGCCAGAACCTCAATAATGTAAAATAAACTTCTCGGTAACTGGTTTTTCGCACATGAGTGTAAAAGTTAGCTCTCATTTGAGGCAATGCCCTTTATTCTTTTATTTCTGTTTGTCAGCCGGTACCCATTTTGAAACCCTTCCCTGTCGAAGTGTAAAAATGAAAATTTGCGCAGAACGCATCAACCAAAACCTTCAAAAATATTCCCAAGAACTTATCCAGTAGCAGTAAGACTTTCGGTCGTTTTTTCGTAATGAATGAACCCCATCATTTTTCCTTAGGCGCATGATGAAAGGTGTGGAAATTGATTTGCACGTTGATTCAACAAACCTGTACCTTTTTCCTGGTTTTTTAAGCATTTTCCATTTTTGAGAGGAAAATTGAGTTTGATTCACAGGAAGAAATGAGAGAGCCAAACTTGGGTAGACGATCTACACTTATTTCTGTAGTAAATTGTGCCACAACGCAATACCACTGTCTGTTTTTCATGCTCGGATTATTTGCACACTGCAAATTCTGCGCAAATTCATCTCGATTCGATGATATTTTGCAGAACTAGGAAATTTCATGGAAGTCCAGTGAAGTGGGCTTCCATACTCGGTTTTATTTTTTAATGAGGTCAAACTGCATCATAGATAACAGTCGGTTTCCCAGAGCAGGAACGTCATTTCAGAGCGAATAGAGGAGGGGGAGGGCTTAGGGTGGAGACTTCTGAAGCTGCCGTGAGAAGGTCGGTCGACAGGC